GGTGGGTGAACTTGCAGCATGGGTTGGTACCTGGGACTTCGATGTTGTGGCCATTTCGGAGACATGGATAGAGCAGGGACAGGAATGGTTGTTGCAGGTTCCGGGATTTAGATGTTTCAGTAAGATCGGGGGAGGTGTTAGTCAAGGACAGTATTACGGTGGCAGAAAGGATGTTTGATAAGGACTCCTCTACTGAGGTAGTATGGGCTGAGGTTAGAAACAGGAAAGGAGAGGTCACCCTGTTGGGAGTTTTCTGTAGGCCTCCAAAAAGTTCCAGAGATGTAGAGGAAAGGATTGCAAAGATGATTCTGGATAGGAGCGAAAGTAACAAGGTAGTTGTTATGGGGGACTTTAACTTTCCAAATATTGACTGGAAACGCTATAGTTCGAGTACTTTAGATGGGTCAGTTTTTGTCTAATGTGTGCAGGAGGGTTTCCTGACACATTATGTAAATAGGCCAACAAGAGGAGAGGCCACATTGGATTTGGTACTGGGTAATGAACCAGGCCAGGTGTTAGATTTGGAGGTAGGTGAGCACTTTGGTGATAGTGACCACAATTCGATTACATTTACTTTAGCGATGGAAAGGGATAGGTATATACCGCAGGGCAAGAGTTATAGCTGGGGGAAAGGCAATTATGAGGCGATTAGGCAAGATTTAGGATGCTTAGGATGGAGAAGGAAACTGCAGGGGCTGGGCACAATTGAAAAGTGGAGCTTGTTCAAGGAACAGCTACTGCATGTCCTTGATAAGTGTGTACCTGTCAGGCAGGGAGGAAGTGGTTGAGCGAGGGAACCATGGTTTACTAAAGAAGTTGAATCTCTTGTCAAGAGCAAGAAGGAGGCTTATGTAAAGATGAGACGTGAAGGCTCAGTTCGGGCGCTTGAGAGTTACAAGTTAGCCAGGAAGGACCTAAAGAGAGAGCGAAGAAGAGCCAGGAGGGGACATGAGAAGTCTTTAGCAGGTAGGATCAAGGAAAACCCTAAAGCTTTCTATAGGTATGTCAGGAATAAAAGAATGACTCGAGTAAGATTAGGGCCAGTCAAGGACAGTAGTGGGAAGTTGTGCGTGGAGTCCGAAGAGATAGGAGAGGCGCTAAATGAATATTCTTCGTCAGTATTCACACAGGAAAAAGACAATGTTGTCGAGGAGAATACTGAGATACAGGCTATTAGACTAGACGGGATTGAGGTTCATAAGGAGGAAGTATTAGCAATTCTGGAAAGTGTGAAAATAGAGAAGTCCCCTGGGCCGGATGGGATTTATCCTAGGATTCTCTGGAAGCTAGGGAGGAGATTGCAGAGCCTTTGGCTTTGATCTTTGTCGTCATTGTCTACAGGAATAGTGCCAGAAGACTGGAGGATAACAAATGTTGTCCCCTTGTTCAAGAAGGGGAGTAGAGACAACCCTGGTAAATGTAGACCAGTGAGCCTTACTTTGGTTGTGGGTAAAGTGTTGGAAAGGATTATAAGAGATAGGATTTATAATCATCGAGAAAGGAATAATTTGATTAGGGATAGTCAACACGGTTTTGTGAAGGGTAGGTCGTGCCTCACAAACCTTATTGAGCTCTTTTGAGAAGGTGATCAAACAGGTGGATGAGGGTAAAGCGGTTGATGTGGTGTATATGGATTTCAGTAAAGCATTTGATAAGGTTCCCCAAGGTAGGCTATTGCTGAAAATACGGAGGCATGGGATTGAGGGTGATTTAGCGGTTTGGATCAGAAATTGGCTAGCTGTAAGAAGACAGAGGGTGGTGGTCGATGGGAAATGTTCATCATGGAGTTCAGTTACTAGTGGTGTACCTCAAGGATCTGTTTTGGGGCCACTGCTGTTTGTCATTTTTATAAATGACCTGGATGAGGGCATAGAAGGATGGGTTAGTAAATTTACGGATGGCACCAAAGTCGGTGGAGTTGTGGATAGTGCAGAAGGATGTTGCAGGTTACAGAGGGACATAGATAAGCTGCAGAGCTGGGCTGAGAGGTGGCAAATGGAGTTTAATACGGAAAAGTGTGAGGTGATTCACTTTGGAAGGAGTAACAGGAATATAGAGTACTGGGCTAATGGTAAGATTCTTGGTAGTGTGCATGAGCCAGAGAGATCTCGGTGTCCAAATGCATAGATCCCTGAAAGTTGCCACCCAGGCTGATAGGGTTGTTAAGAAGGCATATGGTGTGTTAGGTTTTATTGGTAGAGGGATTGAGTTTCGGAGCCATGAGGTCATGTTGCAGCTTTACAAAACTCTGGTGCGGCCACACTTGGAATATTGCGTACAGTTCTGGTCGCTGCATTATAGGAAGGATGTGGAAGCATTGGAAAGGGTACAGAGGAGATTTACCAGGATGTTGCCTGGTATGGAGGGAAGGTCTTGTGAGGAAAGGCTGAGGGACTTGAGGCTGTTTTCGTTAGAGAGAAGAAGGTTTAGAGGTGACTTGATAGAGACATACAAGATGATCAGAGGATTAGATAGGGTGGACAGCGAGAGCCTTTTTCCTCAGATGGTGATGGCGAGCACAAGGGAACATAGCTTTAAATTGAGGGGTGATGGATATAGGACAGATGTCAGAGATAGGTTCTTTACTCCGAGAGTAGTAAGGGCATGGAATGCCCTGCCTGCAAAAGTAGTAGACTCGCCCACTTTAAGGGCATTTAAATGGTCATTGGATAAACATATGGATGATAATGGAATAGTGTAGGTTAGATGGGCTTCATATTGGTTTCACAGGTCGGCGCAACATCGAGGGCCGAAGGGCCTGTACTGCACTGTAATGTTCTTTGTTCTATGGTCACCTGCGCTCCTTATCTGATAATCGACAACGCCACCTTCTGGTTGTTAACCACTTTAACTGTTTGTTACCCCCCCCCCCCCCGCCCATCCCACTCCCTTGAAGAGATGTCCGTCCTGGTCTGCTGTCAATGCCACAATGACGCCACACTCCAACTGGAGGAGCAAATCTCATATTTTGCCTTGGGAGACTACAGCTCAATGGCCTGAACTTAGAATTTGCCATTTTTAAAATCTCCCACCCCTGGCTTCATCCCACATACAACCCTCCGTCCCATCCCTGGCTCCTTGACCTGACCCGACCTGACCCAACCTGTCCATCATCTTGCCCATCTATCCATCCACCCTTCCCACTGACCAAACCCTGCTACCACCCACCTGCATCCACCTATCACTATCCCACCTCCCCGCCCCAGCCCCACTCCTCCTCTTCCCTCTCACCACTTTGACCTGATACAACCTGTCCATCTCCTCACCCACCTATCACTATTCCAGCTCCATTTCCCCCTCCCCAGTCTGAAGAAGGATCCTGACTCGAAACATCGACTTTGCTACTCCTCTGCTGCCTGACCTATGTTCCTCCAGCTCAACAGTGTTGACGTGTAAATGCAATTTTTTTACCTCAGCAATTCAAATGAAAGTTAAAGTTTTTTTGCCTATTTATCTTTAAACCTTAGTTCCGAACGCAGTCTCTTTCTCCAAGACACTGCAGTTTACACTTCATAACTTTGCACTTTAGAATTTTTCTGCAATTGCTCTGCAAGCTTTTGGGTTTCTGTTTCCCTGCTTAATGTTCTCAGTAAATGGTTAACGCTTAATTTCATAGTTGTGGGAGACTTTGACTGGACTAACCAAATTGACACAGGAACTCTGGAAGATAGTTTGTCAACCACTTTTAGGACAGTCTCTTGGAGTAATATTGTATAATCAATTTAAGGAATTTTAGGTAAAATATTGTGTAATTCCCTGTTACTTTTGGAGACTACATACTCCAGAGCAACTAAGAATTTAAAAGCCAGTTGTATAGGTACGAGGGGTGGTTTGTTTAACATGGTGTGAGCAAATAGATAAAAAGGTGTGATTGCAAATAAATATTTGGAAACATTTTTAAAGAAGCATTCAAATACTGTATTCAATTCTGGTGTCCCAACTGTAAGGAAGATGTTGTGAAACTTGAAAAGGTTCAGAAAAGATTTACAAGGATGTTGCCAGAGTTGGAGAGTTTGACCTAATAGGGAGAGGTTGAATAGGTTGGAGCTATTTTCCCTGGAGCATCAGAGGCTTATAAAAGCATCAAGGTTTATAAAATTTGAGGGACATAGATAGGGTGAATAGTCAAGGTCTTTTCCCCAGGGTAGGGGAGTTCAAAACTAGAGGTCATGGGTTTAAGGTGAGGGCAAAGGTTTAAATGGGACTTAAGGGGCAACTTTTTCATGGAGAGGGTGGTGCATGTATGGCATGAGCTGTCAGAGGAAGTGGAGGCTAGCATAATTGCAATATTTAAAAGGCATTTGGACAGGTATATCAATAGGAAGAGTTTAGAGGGGTATGGGTCAAATGCTGGCAAATGGGATTAGATTTATATCGGATACCTGGTTGAAATAGATACCTGGTTGGACCGAAGGGTCTGTTTACATCCTATACATCTCTATGACTTTAAGCATTAAGAATGTTCACAATTATGCATTCTATTGAAAAGTAAGAACTCCAAGAAAGATTCATCTGTGGCTTACCAAGGAAGCCAAAGATGGTGTTAGCTTAAAAGGTTTGATATTTTAGAAGAAAAAAAACCTGAAGATTGGCAATGTTTTAAAACCTGACAAAAGGCTGCCAAAAAATAATTAACAAGGTAAATAAGAATAAACTAACCACGAATATAAAAAGATTGCAAATGCTGATATGGGTACATAGATATAAAGGAAAAAGTAGTTAAAATTAACTTTGGCCCCTTGAAAGGAGAAATTTATAATAATGGAACAAAAAAATGTAGAAAGAAGATTAGTTCAATCTTCACAATTAAAGGTATGATTTACATTCCAGATCAGAGGGTGATGTAAAGCCGATAAGAATAATGAAATTAAAGTAATTCTAAAGTCAGAAGACCTAAAGGACTAAAATCCAACGAATCTCCAAGACCTGATGGTTTGTATCCCAAGATTTTAAGAAGATAAAGGAAGCACTGACTAACTTTTTTCCTCCAAATTCTCTAGGTACTGGAACGGATCTAACAAGATTGGGACAACAAACAAAAGATGTCGAGAATGATTGCATACAAAATTTGGATTCTAAAGAAGGACAAAGTTTTGCTGAAGCTGCTGTCAGTGTGTCTCCGCCATCAAGTTCAAAGGTAGCTTTTCTATTTGGTAGACTGTCCTCTTTGAATTAAGTTTTTGATCCGTCTCCAACTGGAGAAAAGCTAGTGTCATTATATAAAAGCAAGTTACTGCAGATGCTAAAAATAGGAAATAAACAATGTTGGAGAAACTCAACAGGTCTGGCACCGTCTACGAAAAGAGAAAGAGTTGAAGAGTTCAAGTCCTGTATTACTTTACTTCAAAAGACTTGTAACATTGGACTGTAAATGTTAACATTTTTTTCTTTCCTCGGATGCTGCCAGACCTGCTGAGTTTCTGCCCCGCTGTTTCTCATCCTCTGGCTCTGTCCCTCTGAATTTCATCCTCTGTTTCGGCCCCACTGTTGTGTTCTGATGTCAATATATATAGTTGGTTGATCATCAGCTCTTATTCAAAAATTCTTCTGGCCCTAACAAAATAAAAACTGAAAGAACTGGGGATACTGTAAATCAAGAACAATCAAAAGTTGTTGGAAAAGCTCGGCAGGTCTGGCAGCGTCTGTGAAGAAAAAAAACAGAGTTAATGTCTCTGGTCCAGTGACCCTTCCTCAGGGTCCAGAACTAGTTCTGAGGAAGGGTCACTGGACCCGAGCCGTTAACTCTGGTATATTTTTTTCTTCGCAGATGCTGCCAGACCTGCTGAGTTTTTCCAGCAACTTCTGTTTTTGTTCTTCTGGTCCTGTCCATTTACACACTTAGTGTGGCCAATGATCTTCTAGTAAATATTTGAAAGTGATCAATTTCCCCCCTTGTCTGCTGATTTGTCATCTTTTTATGCATGTTTTGTATACTTCAAAATATTACTTTCACTTTTTTTGAGTCCATTTTTGTTGTTTAGAATGTATACGCCTTGTACGAAGTAGACGATTCTGTCAGCACGTATGATTTACATATACTTTCTGGGAAACTTCAACTAGTTTTGTAACTGCAGAAAAGGGAAATCTAAAATCTTTCTATAGAGTCCTTTATTATGAGAAAATGATCTTTTTATCACAACAAAAGTTTGTTTTTGCAAGAATCATGATGACAGCAATAAACCTGGTAATTTACATTCTGTCCATGCCAATACTACAAGAATAAGTCCCATTCTCCTAACATTTTCCCTACATTTTCCCTTAGCCCTGCACAGTTTTTTTTTCTTTTAAAAGCTGAAATTGAACATACTGATGTGGGTTTTCCTTCTACTAAGGCATATCACTTGATGCAGCAATGCCTGTTAACCATCAATGAAATATGATGGAGGTCACTGTATTGAAGAATCCAACAGACATTTATTATAGCTACTTGTTATGTACCGATAATACATTGCTCAAAGGGTGCCTGGGATAATATCAAGCTGTTCTCTTTCACTTGAAGAGCATGATCAAACTTTCATGTAACGCTTTGGAAATTTGACAACTCTTCCCATTTGATTTATCTACTATATTGGCGCGATATGTGCTGTTTTTGGTTGCATTTGTTGATAAACTGGTTGCTGACACTCAACGTAAACTGAGTGTGCAGTTTCTTCCTTATTCTCTTTGTGCATGATTGCTGTATAGCTTAATGATCACTAATAAATATATGATCTAGCTGTTGTGCATTCTAGAGACATTTGCTGGTATCTAAGTATTTGTATTTCTAACTTGCACACTGTCTTCTGGATGTTCTCAGCCTGTTCATGTATAATGTCTCTTTCATTCTCCCCTGCCTTGAAGAATGTCCTTTGTTTTCGTGGATAGACAACTGGTGCTGTGAAAGGTCATTTGTAATTGAGTTCCAAACACAAGTTGTGTAAGGGATGGTAATCCTTTCCCTATTTATGTTGCATGAAAATGCAATGGAAAAAATTTACTTTGTTTAACACTTAATAATCTTTGATTTGATAGTACATACCATGTGTCCTGTTTAGTCGGTCTGAGGCATGAATAGAAAGTTGTGTAGATCTACATTCAGTTCATAAGTTTGGCATGCCTTGCTTCATTCACAAATGCTTGAATAACCTGCTTCATCCCTGTCCAGTGTAATAGCATAGTGCTATTGGCATGTCTTTGAAAATGATTTGCCATATTTGGTTTAAAATGAACAAATTATGAATAGCTCGACAGTATCAATAATCTTTGCAATCAGCAACTACCAAACTTGCAACTTTGACACTGGCTGAAGAGTGAAATATCAACTGCGGGAATGTCTTCAACTTTGTAGACAGGAGCATCAACAGCAATATGTAGATCAAGAGATCTTTGTGTAGGTCAGGTAACCTGCTCAGTTTGCCAGGCTTGCATATGACTCCAAAGTCATAGCCTTCAATAGTCATGTGATCTGTTCCACCTCCCTGGGAATAGTTTGAATCTCATGAATTTTGACTGTTCAGATCTGTTAAATGGAATCCTACCATTGGTGGACCAATGGTGTCTACCTAATTAAATTTTAGGAAGCCACAATGAGCTTGTGTATTGGCACTGCAGTGTGATTCTGCCAATGCAAGAAATTGGTGATCTGTAATTCAATGGGGTGGTCTCTTGTAGGCTATGCCACTTAGTGAGGTACGTGTCTTTCAGGATGCATAGTTATATTATGTTGGCAATAGATTTTAGCATATGTCATCTTACCCTTTTAGGACACACGATAATAATGGTTACAAAAGCATTTGATTCCTTATCAATATAGTGAGATTAACAATATGGAAAACTCTGATCATATTCTGAAATTTTTATCTTTTGATTGTGTTGTGGTGTTGGGTCATCTTGGTCACCTGTTTTTGCTCTAATGTCTGCCTAGAAGTATAGAACCAGATTTTCTGCATGTCAATGTCTCTTGGCACTGTGAATTTGGAATGAAAGGAACATAGAAACACAAACATAGATAGGAGTAGCAAGAGGCCAGTCGGCTCTTCGAGCCTGTTCTGCCTTTCATCATGATCATGGCTGATTGTCCAACTCAATTGCCTAATCCTGCTTTCTCCCCATAATCTTTAATCCCATTTGCTCCAAATGCTATATCTAGCCACCTCTTGAATATATTCAACGTTTTGGCATCAACTACTTCTTGTGCATTAAATTCCACAGGCTTGCCACTCTTTGGGAGAAGAAATGTCTCCTCCTCTCCCATTCTACATGTTCTACCCTGAATCCTCAGACTGTGACCCCTGGTTCTGGACACACCCACCGTTGGGAACATCCTCCCTGTATCTACCCTGTAAAGAGAGAGATGGATAGGTGCAAAAAACATATCTATTACAGGTTTGGGGACCATTTTGTGGAACACCTACGATCGGTTCGCAACAAACAACTGCACCTCCCAGTCGCAAACCACTTCAACTCCCCCTCCCATTCCTTGAACGACATGTTCATCCTGGGCCTTCTGCAGTGCCACAACGATGCCACCCGAAGGTTGCAGGAACAGCACCTCGTATTTCGCTTGGGAACCCTGCAGCCCAATGGTATCAATGTGGACTTCACAAGCTTCAAAATCTCCCCTCCCCCAACCGCATCCCAAAACCAGCCCAGTTCGTAGCCACCTCCCTAACCTGTCCTCCCACCTATCCACTGCTCCCACCTCAAGCCCCACTCCTCCTAATCCCACCTCTTTGACCTGTCCCTCCTTCCTGGACCGACCTATCCCCTCCCTAACTCTCCTCCTTTACTGGCTCCAACCCGCCTCGTTGACCTGTTTGTCTCCTCTCCACCTATCTTCTCCTTTATCCATCTTCTATCCACCTCCCCCTTTCTCCCTATTTATTTCAGAATCCCCTTCCCCTCCCCCATTTCTGAAAAAGGGTCTAGACCCGAAACATCAGCTTTCCTGCTCCTCTGGTGCTTGGCCTGCTGTGTTCATCCAGCTCTAAACCTTGCTATCTCTATTGCAGGTTTTGCCGGTTTGGAGCATTTGACGTGCCGCTAATACTGTTGCAGTCAATTTTTTTTAAAATTGTTGACCTTTCACTAGGGCTTCTTTCTTGTGTTCACCTTCGAGCAATGTGTCAATGGTGTAGTTCTGTTCCTTGCCCAAAAGATTCATCCTAAAGGCTTTAATTGGTGTAGAGGTGATGATTTTCTAGCAGATCGTCTTTGCCCTTTATTGTGACAAACTACTCAACAGATTTTTTTTTTTAATTTCCATGTGATGAGTTGGAGTTAATCCTGAACTTTAATTCATACCTTGAACTGATCTTCAAGAGCTTTCTAAATCTCCTGGAATTTTTTGCTTTTTCATTGGGGCTGAGGGGGTGGGGGTGGGGATGGGGGTGTGGTGAAGGAAAAACTCTTAATTCTATCAAGTCTCTTTTTGATGTGATTAAGCAAACTTGAACACTATTTAATAGATCATCTAAAGCTTGGACTGCATAAGTAGTCTAAATAGGTTTTTAGCTCTGACTCTGTTCTCTTAATTTGAGGAAATCTTAGAAATTTCCTTCACGTTGAAAGAACTTAAATTCCAATTAAGATATTTAATGTTTTCTGTGGTCAGTGCTGCATCTATTGTTCTGGGAAGTTTTCTGTACTTTACAGAATTTGATGCTGTTTAACAGGTGAAAAACTGTCCTTTTGTCCACTGAGATCTTAAGCTATTGTATAAATAGCCTACACAGCTGACCATGTGAGTTTTACCTCTAGCAGGATATTCTGTCTGGTGCAGCAATGCTTACATTATCCTTTGGAAAATAAAACTGGTATGGACTTCTTGGTATGAAGAGTCCAACAAAAATTTGATGGCTGTTACATACAGAATTGTGTTTTTCAGGCACATAGCTTCTGGGCTAGTATTAATCTATTCAGTTACAGCTGAGGCATGTACTTCCAGAAGCATGTAATGTTTCAAGTGATCAGAGTTGAGATGAAGTATATGACCTTTATACTCCTGGTGATGATTTTACGCTAAATACTCATGCTGCTGACTTAACGTTATAAGGCATAGTACAACATTATGCCACCTCATATATCCTCGTGTGATGTATTCCAGATCCTAATCACTAATTGTATAAAAGATGTTTCCTTTCTCATGTTACTAATGAC